CAGTGTAATCAACGTCATACATACATACATACATACATACATACATACATACATACATACATACATACATACATACATACATACGCACACACAAACGCACTAGACAACTTGCTTCGTTTTAAGCTATTACTCGTGTTCGTACATCGTACCATCCTCGCCAGCTCCCGTCCGCGACAATCAGATCACCAGCTAGACCAGACACTCACTCACTCACTCACTCACGTGCGCAAGTACGCACGCACGCACGCACCTGCCCAGTGTGTAGTTGCGCCACGTGCTCCAGCACCACATGAACAGCATGTGCACTCTGTCGTCCAGCATGGCGTACACGGCGATGAGGCACAGCGGCCGGCGAGACATGATCTGGATGGTCCCTGCTGTAGACAGCATGCGGTTGGCGCGCGCCCACTCCTGTAGCCGCCGGAATGCCAGTCGCCGCTGCGACATGAGGCTAATCTCGTGAACCTGAGGTGGGTTGTTGATACCGCCGCAAGTCGCACTGTCAGCATTTAGCGTATGTATGTATGTATGTATGTATGTATGTATGTATGTATGTATGTATGTATGTATGTATGTATGTATGTATGTATGTATGTATGTATGTATGTATGTATGTATGTATGTATGTATATATATGTAAAGGGTGCATGCATGCGGACACATAGAGCTATGTGCGGAACGGGATGGGTCACCGTACGGCAAGTACGAAAAGCAAAGCTGTCAGACTCCTCAAATCACGAAGGCACGCAGGCGAACTATTAGCACATGAAGGAGGAGCATGCAGGTACTTAAGGTGCGCGCCCCCCCCCAACTCCCGAATCCAAATTTCCACCTCACCCAGCCCCCCACGCGCCCCAACAACCTGCGCCAACAGGAGCACCCCCCCTCGCCTCTTCCTCTTACCTCACGCGCTATCCTGCGCACGGTCTTGTTGCGGCGCGTGAGGTGCAGTATGCCCTCGAACACGGCGCGCTTGACGCGGCGCAGGCGGCGGCCCTCCGCCAGGTTGGCCTTGAACGCGTTCAGCGCGTTGCGCAGTATGGCCTCGATGTGATGCGCCGCAGTGCTGTACCAGGCCTGACGCATCCGCGTGTTCCGGCGCGTGAAGAACAGCCAGAAATGGAAAAAGTGGCGAACTCGGAAGCCCTGCGGTGCAGCAGTCGGCCACCGGCACGGCGGTTGAGAATTGGGAAAAATGGAAATTTTTTAAACCCAAGGGATGGATGAGAGACAACAACTCTGTCGAGGGAAGGGAGGAAAGTACGCACAGAGAGGGACACGCAAATACGCAAACTGGATGTTTGCGAAGGGACATTCACCCACCACCACCAGTAACCCTTCCCCCACCACCCACTACCCCCCTGCCCACCTTATGCAGCTGGGACATACGGGAGTGGAGCTCTCGCGATCTCGTATGCTTGAACAGCCACTCGTCCCACTCGGGAATACGCGGCCGGAAAATGGGCGGCGGGATCTGGAGCCGCTCGCTCACGCAAATGACGGACCAACGGAACCAGAACCTACACGGGCAGTGGGGGAAAGACGAACCACGAACGAGTTGTCGGGGGAGAGGCAGTGAGGGAAGCGGGGGGAAACGATAAGTGGAGAGCAGCGGCGGAGAGCAATCGGAGAGCAGCAGCCCAGTCAGGCAAGGAAGGGGTGGGACGCAGGATAACGGACGACCGCTAGGGCTCTTCGGCGTATGCGCGATCATCGCGGCGCCTAGGAGAAGGAGGAAGGGAGGAAAGTGAGGGTATGATAACGGCCCCAACGGGCTCTTAAGCAGTATCCCAAGGTCGCGGCTACTGCTGAAGTTTTTCCTAAGGACAGAACCTCCTCCAGAACAAGACGCATCCAGATCCGCCTTGCTGTGGCTCAATCCGCAATCGTGCTCACCGGAATAGCAGCCGCACATACTCCAGGAAGCGCTTCCGCTCCATGCGTCGCAGCACCTCCCCTGCCTTCTGCCGCTTGGCTACCTGCAGCGCCACAGCGCGCCGCCAGGCGCCCAGGTACAGCGCCAGCGTGCGGTGCGGCATCTGCCGGATGAGCACATTCGCCACCAGCGCTCCCAACGTCAGGCGGGCAGTCCAGGGATCCCCCCCGGGCGGCGTGCACAGCTGCCACAGCTGCTGCGGCGTGGCGTACTCCTTGACAGCGCCAATGGAGGCGCGTAACTTAACCATGAGCTGTGTGTTGATGGAAGGACGATTGGGTCAGGCGATCGGTCAGGAAAGGTGTTGTGATGAAAGTAGAGGTACACAGAAATGTGTTTGTGTGTGGGGGGGGGGGCCCAGGAGAAGAAGCTGTAGGAGGCGTGCTGGGGACCATGGACATGGAACAATTTCCCCCCCCCTGCCCCCTCCCAACCCACCCACTCACAATACTCACCCACAAAATACTCACCCATGTGCGGCACACCCCAAGCCCAAGGCCACTATCTCCCTCAGGCAGAAACCACCACCCGGACACACCAGGGTAACACCCTCGGGCCGGTGAAAATGCCTAAGCCCCCTGCACCCCACACCCACAATATATCGGCCCCGCGTCTGCAAGCCAACCTCCTGTGTCATCTTCCACTTCCACCTAGGGGTTGCTTAGCGCCGGTCACACTACTAACCCCTCTTAACCACTAACCACTAACCACTAACCGGATGGATGACCCCTTCCCGGCGCCACACACCCACATCCTGCTGTGCCGGCGCACTGCAGGTCGGCACCCTTCCATGCCTGACTTTAAACATGCGCCTGAAGAGCTTCACGCACACATCTCTCCCCCTTCTCGGCCCGCCCCACAGCGCAGGCATCGCGCATCACATCCGCACGCGGCGGCTCATAGTACGGCACGATAGTTCCCAGCCACCTTCCAATGCTTGCAATAACGGCACCGACTCTCACGTCCTGGAATTTTATTCACGTTCGGGTAATGCCCTTCGGTTCCTTTGCCTTTCCGTCATTTTTTTCTCCCAGCTCTATCTAAGCAGACTACTAAGCACGCGGCGGCTGCCGCCCCCACCTGGAAGAAAAGCTCGTTGCCCAGACATACCCAGTCCCGCCACTCCTCAAACGCGCGTCGCAGCATGCGGCGCCTTGCGTGCAACACCGCGAGGACCAGCTGTTTCAGCGGTCCGAACACCAGCGCCAGCTGCCGCTGCAAGTGCTTTCGCCGTACTGCGCAATACCGATTGAAGAACACGCGAACCTTCCGGGCACGCCAAGCTGTCTGTACTGCCAACGCTGCGTCGGGCGCGTACTGCTCAAATTTGTAATCGCCCACATACGCGTCAATTTCTGCGTCGATTTCCTCCATTTCCGCATGGAAAGCCCGTAAGCGGGCGCCGCCGTCGCGGTTGGCGGCTTGCGCCGCCGCCAGCAGCGCGCGGTATTGTACCTGCCCGGCGAGGATGGAGGGGTTACTACTGCTGTTGCCAAGGACACTTGTCGCTGCGGCGGCAACGGCGGTGCGTTGCGCCGCTGCTGCGGCTGTGGCCTCCTGGCGACTAACGGTGTATGTCGAGACGACGACTGTGGATGGAGGGCTGGTGGCAGCGGCCGCTGCCGCTGGACCAGCGGCGGCGGCCGCCGCGGCGGCCAGCGCTGCAGCAACCGTCGGCACGGTCGTGGTGCCAGTGATCATGCCGGGACGTGACAGCCGTCGGGAAGGAGAGGATAGGGGAGTGGCAGTAGCGGTGCTTCCTCCGCTGTCATGAGGGCTTTCTAAGGTGCTCCGGAGAAGGGAGGTGTAGTCCGCTGCGGGTGCAGGGACGGGGACGCTGAGCTGCACGGGCAAGGCTGGCCGAGTTGGCGGCGTCATGGGCTGCGCGCTCACCAGCGCAGAGGGCCGGCTGGGCACGGCGGCGGCGTTATGGCGATACGGTGGTGTGGATTGGGGGGTGCCGGTCATGGATTTGAACCGCACACGCCCGGTGTCTGGCGGCTGTGACTGGGGAAGGGGTTGCGGCTGTGTTGCGGCCGAAGGCAAAGGCAGTGCATGATTGGCGAGTGTTGCAGGGGTTTCGAATTCAACTGCAACGGCGCCGCCTCCGCCATGTGCGTCTGCATATGCTACTCCAGCTTCCCCATCGGCCTCCCCTGTCGGTGGGTTAGTAGCTGCCATGCGAGCCAAAGCGGGGTCCCATTTTGGCTGCTGCTGCCGTTTCCGCAGCTGCTCATCCAACGCCTGCGTTTTTGGTTAAGGTTCTTATGTGAGCCGACCGTTGGTACATGCACGACAAGGAATGGAGGCAGACAGCCCGCCTAAATGAAGTGATCAGCATGTTGTGTTGTGCAAGCGGCACAATATCCATGAGGTACCTGGGACAGCGCCTTGAAATGGCGGAGCGAGTTGTCGATGCCTTCCAACACATCGGTATCATCCTCCATCCTTTTTCCCTCCAGTAGTGGTTCTCAACTACCCCTTGTTTCATTCCATGCCGAATTGTAGGCAGGTGAAGGATGAGCCGGGTATCTTTCGGACTGTTTCAGCCTGTGCTCCGACCCACTCCAAGAGGATGCAGTAATGTTCAGAGGAATAGTTGTCAAAGAAAACGTCCATTGTGTAAAAGGCTCTGTGAAGGGAAAAACTAGTCGTCAGCCCTTCGAGCTAGAACCTTGGCCTATTCCGGATGCAAGGTTTGGCTTTGAACGCTCAACCTATTACAAAACGATCAAGGGTCTGCTGAGCCAGTAAACATTCAACCGTCTCCCCCAACCTCTGACTCAACTGCCGCACAACGTCGTGCATTTGTGCACTGAACAAGTGTGCATGAGCGCCCAAGTTTTTCTCAAGCATGCTAGTATGTACTCACATACATTTTGGCTTTACTACTTTGTGTGATGGCTCTGCAGACTCAGGGGTTCCGCGGTCCCAGGGATGTTCCTTCGTTGACGGATACCCAAATTGCAAGTAACTCAAATCAATAAGGCAACATAAAGTTGTACAAATCCCAGGAAGTAATTAAGCTCGCAACTATGCCGTTTCGAAGGCGGTGAAGGTCCTTGTGGTTGACTGAGTTCTTACAGGTATTACCTACTGCACGGGAAGAACCCAATTCAGGCCGTGAACAAACGCTCCCCAAACCTTACTAGTCATAACAGCACGCAGATTTCAGTCATATCGCAATATGGCCACGCACCCTCTCCGCACACATACCCACACTCCCCTCACGGTCGGAAATCGCAAGCGCACCAATCACTCCACCCGCTTCGCAGACGTAAACCTAATGCACCCAGCCCTCATCGCTACCTAAGAAGCAAACCCCCTTCAGAGACCATGCATACTTCCTGTCCAGCCAATGCCACAATCTCGCACTCATCTGACCGAACATCTCCATGTTTGAAGGCCCCGCCCAAAACTGGTCAAGGAGTTACGTACACCCGCGGGCAAGTGGCCTCTGGGCATGCATTAGCTGCCGGACATACAGCTCTCATGCGCTACGACCTCGGACAGTCCCCTCTCCTCGCTTAACTGACGGCTCCCCACTCGAAAACCCTGCTGCTGCATCCTGCAACATAGCACAATCAATACTCTCACCCTCCTCCGCCCCCTTGCCGTGCGTGGCACCCGGAAACAGATTTGGCCGTCCCCCCTTTTATTCCTCATCCAGCTCAGCAGTGATCTCACGAATGAGTTCCGCTCGGTAGTCTTCGAAGTCGCCAGCGTACTGCCGAATCTTGCCGTCCTCCACCACGAGCACTTGGCTGCGCTCCTCGTCCTCGCACAGCCGTGACAGCAGCTGCGCGTCGTGACTGATAACGATAACGCCCCCTGCAGCGTCAATGACGTCAATTAATTACCGAGTCTGAAGTATGTCGTGTAATAAGCATTAGTCAAAAAGCGCAAAACGGTTTCAAAATAGCGTTCTAGGATACGCAGCCGTTTTTTCGGATGGCAACCTACCCTCAAACTCGCTGATCGCGTCGCACAGCGCGTCGATGGACTGCATATCCAGATGGTTAGTAGGCTCATCCAGCAGGAGGATGTGGGGTTGCATGAGCGCAATCGAGGTAAACACCACACGCGCCTTTTGACCACCTGTGCCAGGGAGTCAAAGCAAATAGGACGTCACGGTCATGTAAGACTATCCATGGTATGCGCGGTCCAATATGCTGCCTTACAAGTTCTCTGGAAACATAGGGCCCCAATGCACGGGTTGATGCTGCATTGCCAAGAGCACCAACATGGACAGCAAGTCAACGGCTGCGCAATGCGATGCCCTCATACTACTTTCTGTGCATAGATGGAAACGCCGGACTAACATGACACAGCGACCGGTACGCTCCAAGCAGGCTCACCACCCGACCCGCTAGATAATGGTGGCTCAGAGAGAAAGGTTTCTCAGCATAGGCCACAGGGCCTTTGCGAAGTATGAGACTGAAATAACTGTTTGCATCAGCGCCACCAGTCCACGCCCTTCGTTACTAAGCCCTTCGTTTCCCTACCAAACCCTGGATAAGACCACCAGCCTCTTCCCTCCGCACCCAACATCTCGTCGGGCACCTGTCCAGACGTAAAGGAAGCCAAGCAAAACCAGAGCCCACACAGCATGAGCCCCGAAACCTACCGGATAGTTTGCAGATGGGCGTGAGGTGGTGTTGCCCACTCAGACCAAAGCGCCCAAGCATAGCGCGCATGCCCTCCGGTTTCAAGCCCGCGGTGGGGTACTTACTCAGCAGATACTCCACGGGGTTCTCGTCAAAAGACAGCGCATCAACGAAATGCTGCAGAGGGACAGGCAGGGTAAGCTACGCTCAAGAGCAATACGGTGTTACGATGAAGGCCGTGTACGGAGGCATGCATGTGCGTGGGCATGGAATATCCATTGTTCGCGTCAGACAAATTCACCAAGAAAAAATGTTTGGAAATAATGGAAATGATCGCCAGCCGGCTTCTCGTGTACACCCACCTGTGCGTACCTCCCGATGCGTAGCTTATGGCTGCGACGGGACTCGCCGTTGACTGGCGAGATATCACCCGACAGCAGGTTCATCAGAGTCGTCTTGCCTGCACCGTTGGGACCTGGAGCAGAGCAACGGCAGGCCATGATGTTTTAATGTATCCCTTAGAGCTCACACCCGCAAGGGCTTTTGCGCCACTCATAGAACGTTTTGAAAGCGACGCATGCAACCTGAACATCTGCGACCCCATCCCCACTCCCCTTTATAACTAAAAAAACGTACAATAGACCTCGCCATGCCGTTCTGGATGGAGCCGTAAACTTACCCACGATCGCGATCCGCGAGCCCATGTCCATGCCCATATTGACGCCTTTGAGCCCGAAGTCGTCCCTACGGCCAATGAAGGAAGCGATCAGCATGAGAAGGTTCGCTAAAGTTTGGTCGATCGCTGACGTCGAGCAAGACTACAGCCCCGCCGCACAATACACAAACCACGTAACCGGCGTGCTCAGGCTCTTGGTTGTTGTCCTCAGCGACCGCTGGTCTCAGCGAAGTATGAGGCGTAAGAGCGAATAGTCATCATCGCACCCCTTTCACAGCATGTCTATTTGAGCTGCCCGCAAGCTATGGGTGCCAGGCAGCTTATACGTCCATAAATCATACGGCTATAGGTAGGCGTGCTCAGGCTCTTGGTAGTTGTCCTCAGCGACCGCTGGTCTCAGCGAAGTATGAGGCGTAAGAGCGAATAGTCATCATCGCACCTCACCACCCGGATGACTTTTGCCTAGCCTGTGCATGACTCGACCCCCTCGCCGCCAGTTACGACGGTGCGCGCTATTCCTGCCTTTTTTTACCTTGGTTCCTAGGCCTCCGCCAGCCCATTAAAGCTAATACAAGGAATGCAGGCTTTCCAAAGGACACGCGCCTTTTAACCGTCAGGAAAATTGAAACAGGAAGCATCTCTTCAACCCGACATATCCGGATGCCGACGTACCTCCCCGGATACTTGAAGTCCACATCGATGAGCTGAATGAGCGGCGGGGGCAGCTCCGTGGGCTCCGGGAAGTGGAACTCCACCGTGTAGTCAGACCAGCGTTGTGGTGCAGATGCGGCAGAGCTGGATGCACCGTCGTCTGCAACATTGCCTCTCCGCTTGGCCTGTCAGCAACATTGCCAGGTTAACAACCGGAGTAAAAAAGGTGCACAACACCCGGTCCATACAGTCAACCCGGTACCAGCTTACATCAAGACAGGACCAGCAGACACTACAAGTTGGCCCGCGCTAGATGCCGCGCTGGCTAAACCAACAGCGCGACACAGTAACACAATATAAGTGGGCCTGCCAGTATTTCCCACCTGGCTTTTCGTAGCGTTGCTCGTGACCTTCTCCGCCTTCGCCTTGGCGTCCTTTCCGCCACCGCTTTTAGCTGCCTTGAGCTGCTTCTCATACTTCTCATAAGCCTGCAATAGAAGGAGAATGACCAGCTTACACTAGCACAACCACAACGACCCCAGCCGTTGATTCATGTCGCACCTATGCGCCCTCACTACACGTGCCTATCGTCTTCTACACGCAGATCCCATACCCCAAACTCACAAGCACTAGTGTGAAAATCTACCTTATTGACCTCGCGTCGCTTCTGTTCATACATCTCCTCAAACTGCGCGAAATTCCCACGATATTGGTGCAGCTTGTTGTCGTGCAGGTGAATGATATCGGTGGTAACTGAGTTGAGGAAGTCGCGGTCGTGCGAGACAACGATGAGTGTCTTCTTCCAGCGCATCAGATACTCCTCCAGCCAAAGTACCGCGCGAAGGTCCAAGTGGTTCGTGGGCTCATCCAACAGCAGCAGCGTTGGCTGGATGTAAAGGGCGCGGGCGAGGGATATGCGCATGCGCCAGCCGCCACTGAAGTCCATGGCCGCCGCCAGGGTTGTGTGGGGGACAGATACAACTTGTCAGCTGTGTTTTCACAGACCGTGTCAATAGCGAGACGCTAACTACGCAACATGAATGCCTAATCGACTCAGGCATACAAGCGCGAGTTCTGCATGAGCTCATACATGAACGGAAGAAGGGGAGACCTATCCTGATTGGTCTCTCACCTGAAAGATTGTGTTGCCCGCTTCTGCATTGCCTCCGTGAAACCAAGACCGTGGAGAATTTTTGAGGCACGAGACTCAGCGCTCGCCGCACCGATCTGGGCCATGCGCTCATATATCTCGTTCAAGCGTTCCTGCCGGGACAATCCAGCCAGCCGACATAGTAAACGCAACTCCTCACAACAATCACATAATAGCATCAAAACTGGTTCTCAACAGCCCCACGCCGTCCTCAGTAGTGGGATCTCCCATGCGCTGCGCAAGAGGAATTTCCAACTCCGTATATCGAGAGATTGTCCATGCAGCCACCACTTCCCAACCACTCAAGAATATTAAGCATAACAAAGACCTCGTATACGACCATTTCACAAGTTATAACACCCTCGTGAAGCACACTCATGCGGACATCCTCAAAAGGACACCCATAGTGCCCAGCAACATGGGCGTGCAAGTTCTAGGCGACCATTACTTTTAACGGCGGTGAAGACGTGCTGCTTCCGCACATGAAACCAAATATACCTGCGCCGTGTCGTGGTCGAAGTCTTCGGGTTGTTTTTCTTCATCCTGTAGCTGGTCCATAAGATCCTTCTCCTCTTCCCGCAACCGCATGAGCTCCACGTCCGCTTCCACTACGGCCTGAAGTGCGGTCCTGTGGTCAGTCCATCACAAACGTTACGTCCAACGTTTTATTTGGACCATCGCCAACTCAGCACGATATGGTTTAACAACACGGGGGTGTTACATCCAGTTGGGTTTTAAACCCCAAAACCGTGCGGAAAATGCTGAGCAGTTGTCTCCCCATCTAAGTCACCGTGCCTGCCCGGTTAAATGCGGACGGCCAGTGTGCCAGATGCGTGGAATATTGTTATAGCAAGGAATCACTGGTCCTGGAATACTCCCGGCAACAAGAATCGCCGGGGGACTACGAGGCCTTGCATGATTGGACCAATCTGTGCATACAAGCAATGTCGGAGTCCTTAGGGTTATAGGGTTTTAAACCCCAAAACCCTAAGGAAAATCTGAGCAGTTGTCTCCCCATCTAAGTCACCGTGCCTGCCCGGTTAAATGCGGACGGCCAGTGTGCCAGATGCGTGGAATATTGTTATAGCAAGGAATCACTGGTCCTGGAATACTCCCGGCAACAAGAATCGCCGGGGGACTACGAGGCCTTGCATGATTGGACCAATCTGTGCATACAAGCAATGTCGGAGTCCTTAGGGTTATAGGGTTTTAAACCCCAAAACCCTAAGGAAAATCTGAGCAGTTGTCTCCCCATCCAAGTCACCGTGCCTGCCCGGTTAAATGCGGACGGCCAGTGTGCCAGATGCGTGGAATATTGTTATAGCAAGGAATCACTGGTCCTGGAATACTCCCGGCAACAAGAATCGCCGGGGGACTACGAGGCCTTGCTGTCTGACCTTTAATGTCCCGTGTTTTTGAGGCAAGCTTAGCGTTCCACCGAAAAGTGCTCACCTGTCATCGCCCACAATCTCTTGCTCCACAAGCAGGACATCAATATTCAGGGGCACAGGGATCTGCCGGCGGGCCATTAGCCGCAATAGGGTCGACTTGCCACGACCGTTCGGGCCCACAAGCCCATAGCGACGCCCTGCCGCGACGGTAACAGCCGTGTTCTCCAGAAGCAGCTTGCCTTTGGCACGAATCGTCAGGTTTTGGACCTGGGTGAAGAAGAAAAGACAAGATGATGTAAGGTGTCATACTTACGTATGGGCATGACAAACAATTAGGTGGGGCAACGTCACTGCCCGAAAGCAGACAATCTTGTAAGAATCCTCCTCTGACGTACCTTTACGTCCGTCGCTGTGGCAGACACGTCATCTCCCATGCCCTCGTAAGACACATCAAAGACATTCTCGTCTTCTCGAAGCGCATCCTCCTTGGCGCGTACGGCTGCTTCTAGAGCTTTTCGTTCCTGCAGCCAGGTAGGGATGGCAATCAAGAGCAGCAAAGTAGGGATGAAGACCAAAAGATCCCTTACCGCAACAACTGAACCGGGACAAGGCTCCAACGTTTGCAGCTACGCTTCCATGCCGTTTGCCAGAACCCTCGATCCGCAATTAATGGGGTTTTGTAACACTGGTTGTATCCCTCACCTTATCCGCCAGTTTCTTGTTGTCGCGGCTGGTCCCCGCCATGATAGGTGCGCGTGTTGCCTCCTCATCCACACGGCCCCGCTCCTCGAAATCATCATCCTCATCGGAAGAGGGAAGATCAATGCCTGCTAGGTAGTCATTCGCCGGAGCCTGCTTGGCGACAGGAGCACCGCGGCCTGGAGGGCCCCGACCGGGCGGTGGAGGTGGTGCACGAGCGCTCACGGGCCGGTTTGATGTGCTGGGCCCATCCTTGTCCTTCTTCTTGTCAGATTTCTCTGTCGGGGGTATGTGCAGCCAGGAGGAAAGGTGTCATAGATTCACGCGAATGTACTGCGCGCCCGAGTGCTGCTAGCTGGCCTCTGCATCCCACAGCCCAACCACTACGTCTTACTCTGCCCACCGTGAACCGGTACGGCAAAGAAAACACCTTGGATTCTACACATCTCATCTGGGTCCAGGCTTAAGAACGATTCGCATAACATCGTATGTAGGTACGCCATGCTCGTGCATGCAGGGCTTCCCAGGCTGATGTCGCGCCTCCCGGCCATGGCCAGAAATTCCAGACTATTTTCACCCTTGCTTCTTGAACAACGTTGCGCAAAGAGAACCTGTACAGCTTACGCAACTAAACCTACCTGACTTCTCCTTTTTATCCCCCTTCTCCTTATCCCCCTTCTCCTTCTTTGGCTTATCCTGCGCAACAATGCATGGCCAACGATGTTAAGGGTTTCCGTATCGTAACTATGCGTCGAAGGCTATGTCTGCAGCGTGTGGGTTTTTGAGGGTTTTTTTGAGGTCAAATGACAGTAACTTGGAACCCTGCATATCGTGCTACTGTCAGGAGTCCAAGCAAGCCCAACGTGTACCATTCCCACACAGAGCCTGCACCCTAGTCCCACATTCCTGCGATAAGTAGCACAGCTTCCCGTTTCAAATTAGAAACGTTGCGAAGGAGACCGCAATCCCGTTTAAGTTAGGCTCAGAATAAGGTTTAGAATTAACCGAGGCCACTGCCAAGCAAACAAACAACTAAACGCCAACCTCCCCCCTCCAATTTGAGCAGCCAATATCTACAAAATTGACAGCCAACGAAATGCGTTTCTTAATAGGTATTTTCCACCACGGGCATACCAATTGGATAAATGAAAAGTTTCCCTTTGATGTATTGCCGCCGCAAAAGAATCACACCTCACCTCCTTTTCCTTCTTTTCCTTCTTCTCTTCCTTGTCCTTCTTCTTCTTTTTCTCCTCGTCAACGGCCATTATGGTAATTCCTCTTAGGCAAAGCGGCCGTCCTTACCCTAGATGGCGCGCGGGCCACAGCGCCGCCCAAGGCGGCGGTCTCCTTTTAGTCGCCTCTGAGATCTATCAGAGAGCTTAAGCAGGTTGAGGATACAATTCTTAAGTGAAGGCCTACAAGCAGATGGCGGCGAAAGCCTGCAGCAACTCTGCACCTGCAACGTTATTTATTGTGTTATTGGAGCAGCCATCCGGCTGTATTGAAAAATGAAAGATCTTGGGGCCTGTCTATCTTTTTCAAACGTTTTATCGATCGTACAGTACGGTGGATTACGGCAACATTGCTACGGAGGAGTCGACCGCCAATCGCCCATCCGATCCCTTTTTGTGGTACAGTGTCAGAGCCGCCGGCATCAGCTGTCCCAAACCCGTTTTACGGCTTACGGGCTACCACTGGCTCTAAGGCTGTTGTAACCCAGTCCTAATCCGCCCACGCCTTAATCCGTTGCCTCAACACATTGCACCACTTGCCCCGTCCCCCAACCTTCTTCAAGTCCAGCTAACGGTCGCTGATGCAATTTCGCACCTGAACCGTATCTCAGCCCTTTCCGCTGCACTGGCTTCGTCCACTAGCACCCACAGCTCGCGGGCCTTGAGGACATTCGCGGTGCCAATTTATTGCCATTTGTGTTTCTGAAAGAGCGATTAAGTACGTGAACCGAAACAATAAAAGAAACAGTATATAAATGCATTTACATCGGTATACAGTCCCGATTACATCCGGATAGCATTACCCCTTGAGGGTGACGGCCCCGCGCGTGGAAGTGGGTTCCTGTGCACAGCCTCACAGCAAACGCCGCACACCACACACCAGGCCATGAAACCATATCCCCAGATCTGAGCGCGAACGTAATCCCCCCCCCTCCCCCACTTCCCCCGACAATAACTCTCATCCCGTGAGGCACCACGCGACGGGACCCGAAAAGGTTTCCTACGAGCCCCTCATACCCTGCTCCCGACCCCACTCATCGCAAAAGTAAGAAAGCAATTTGTCTGAGTATATATTACATTCGTCAGCCGCCGCCATCACGCGCCACCCGGGCGAAGACAAAACAACAAACATGGCACACGCAAGCGTCCTGCCAAAACTTGTGTCAAGACCTTTCCCCCAACATTAAAATGTGATCCCGAACCCACAGCTGCCTCTCATGCAGCAAGCAGGGCGATTTCTCCCCCCCATCTCCCTGACAGTGGTCTCATAATGCACCCCCAGCCACCCACAAGTCAATGTTCTGTACAAGTTGCAGTCATACCCCAATACCCCACAAGCTACGACATGTCGGGCCCCCCCCCCACACACATCCCAAACAGACAAGCTCCCAACACGTTTCCCTCCTCACCTTGCCGCCATCCCCTCATCCTTCCCTCTCCACATATAACTTCCAGATAACACGCCGGCCACTCACATCTCTCTCCTGCCCCCAGCCCTCTGCCAGGAACCCCTCTCCTCTGCTCCTTCAAACGCCCCTCCCTCAAACCTAGAAAGCGCCTCCCTCCCACCCACCCCACCTCCCCCCCACCTGGCGCCCCTGTTGGCCTATAGCGGCCCCTTTAGTCCCCTTCGCCCAAAGCCCCCTTGCCCTGCCCGCCTAGTCGTCCTCCTGTTGCGAGGCGCCTGCAGGCAAGGTGGCAGCAAAGGCAGGGTACTTGGCCGCGACTGCGGAGTGAGCGCGCACGTCCCACACCACCACCTCCCCGCCCGCCCCTCCCGCCGCCAACAAGTACGGCGCATCCCCGCAGAAGGCCGCCGAGAATACCGCCCCCGTGTTGAGGTCCTGGGTGCACACGAGGTGGGGCGCATTGCCGGCCAGGTCCCACAGCTTGACCTGCTCGCCCGGGTGGGGCGGGGGATGCGAGGCCGAGGAGGAGGTTGGGGAAATAGAGGGAAGCAGAGTGTTGGACGTATCTGTGTATGGAACATGCAGTCCTGATTAGATGTAAACAGGGTTGGAAGTCATCTAAACCTAAACTTCTAAACTTAGATGAGAAACTTTAGAAACTAAACTGAGATATTACATGGGATTTTTTGGCGCCTTAGTTGTACGGCAGCTCCGAAACCTGAGGAGCGACCTTAGGTAGTCCTGAGAAACTTTAGAACAAGCTGTCTGAGGACTCATCCAATAGTTAGAGCATGCCGCCGTACAGGGACATCTATGCCAACAGCAAGAAGTACGCCACCCTCATGCAGCCAGTCAGCGACGCCATTCACCAGTTCGAGGGCGACAGGCCGTCCATTGGACAGGTTCTGAAGGTGCAGCGCGCTCTGGACGCGCACTTCGCGGAGTTTGACAAGCAAAACCCCGACATGATGGTGAAGCCGCGGGGCAACAAGGAGGCTGTGGGTGTGCAGAGCGTGTACGAGCAGCGGCGTGGGAGCACTCTGTCCAACGCGCTTGTCCCGCTCGCCCACGCCCTCGACCCCATCAACTTCGTTCAGCTGAATGGCGGGGACAACTGGTTTCCGCCGTTTCACTCAGCAAGGAGGAGCGGAAGGACGCCCGTAAGCTGGCGGCTGAGGTGTATGCGGGCAACGGTGAGGGTGCAACGGAAGAGGACCGGCGGGCGGACAAGGTGTGTTTGCAGCACTGGCGTGTTGTTCTTGGTGAGCGCCATCAATCCTATCTAGCTGCTGACAGCACGTGAGATTGCATCGTGTTTTAAACAGGCTGTTGTGTTTCACCTCCTTCTCCAACGCCTGCTGTGTTTCAGGAGATGCTTTCTGAGTGGGGCACGCTCGCCCTAATGGGCGTCCCCGACGACTGCAAGGAGCACATGGAGGTGCTGACCGCGCGCAAGACTGTGGAGAGCAAGGCCGGCAATTCCACCACAGTGTCAGTGCAGATCGCGGGCATTGAAGCGCGGCTAATGTTCTGGTCGCGGCACATGTCCGTGCAGTACCCAGCACTGGCGAACGTGGCGGACCGTGTACTGCGCATGCACACGACCACTGGTCGCGGTGGGGCAACATTTTCAGCAAGGCTCGCAACCGCCTGGCGCAGGAGCGGGCGGAGAAGCTCATCTACATTCGCCAGAACGACGACTCCAACAAGGGCAAGGGCAGCCGCCTGTCGGACGAGGAGGTGGTGATGACTCTGCTGGCTGCAGAGGATGAGAAGAGCGCGCGTGTGTAATGGGCGGCGGGGTACACCGACTGGCACGTGGTGCCTGGTGTCGTGGTGTGCAGTTCAGCAGTTTGCCAATCGCTGTGTTCTTTGGAGCGTTTAGGGGCTTGCTACTTGCTATGTAATGCTCGTTTCCATGGGTGTGCAGTGGCTTGCAGGCGGTGGTGTCCCGTGGGTCCCTTGCCCCGTGTGCCAACTGAGCACCTTTCGCTGCGCACACTCAACGCAGCGCAAAACTATTGAATTATCGTTAATAAGCAGCAAATGGGGATTCTAATTCCTAAGTTTCAGCCTAAACGACCCTTCCGCCAGAAAGTAGCCGAAACCTTAGTTGAGATTTCTAAACTTCTCAACTAAACCTAATTAGTTTCTAAGGAAGTTTAGTTGAGATAATATTTCCATCTAAGGAAGTTAAAAACCCTAGATGTAAACTTACTGTGCCGTACTGTGCTGTACATGTTCACGTGAAGCAACCAAGGTTGCAAGCTCAGCACCCGGGGAAGCCGCTGTAGCCCACCCACATGAGACGAAAATTGTGAAATGAACACGCCGCGGCATCAGGCCGCGCAAATGACTGCCGCGCGGGGAAGAGAGAAAGGCTCGCATGATTTGGCCCCTCCTCCCCTTATGCGCTCTCTCTGCGTCTTTCCCCCCCCTCCCTCTCTCTCTCTCCCCTTCTCTTCCTGCAGGGCCGCTTTCGGGCTCTAACCAGGCCGCGGAGGCCCCCTTTACGCACACACGCACACACCTTCTTGTCTGTAGAGCCCGTGGCCAGAAGCCCGCGCACCGCCGGACAGAAGCTCAACGTGCAGGCGGGCTTGTCGTGGGCGGACAACCGGAACAACGAGGCGCTGCCTGCAGTGCGGGTTGTTAAGAGGGAGGGAGGAAGGGAGGGATGAATGCGCGGTTGAAGCTAATTACTCGAAGGGTAAAAGCATAGTGGAGGAAGAAACGACAAAAGGCTGTAGCGCACGTGTTGAGCATAAATGAAGGCAAAAACAAAGCTGGATGTATGATCCAACTTATGTGCATTCAGTCCTCTCTTTTTAGCATCTGAATGGGCTGCTGCACGATGTAGTAAAAGATGTATGAAGCCTCAGAAACCGATGCTATGCAACTCCCATTCGGGCCTCCGGACAGAAGTTTGCTCGTCCATCCGCCCACCCATCCACCCTCACAGCCAAGCAGCCAGCCCACATAACCCAGCAGCGAAACAAGCCTCGCTTTGCTTCAGTCCTCGCTTCACCCCTGTAACAGACTTACTTGACAGCTGAGTGCTCGCACAGCAGCTTCCCCTTTCGGGGATGAACCAAAAAAGTCAAAAGGGGGACGGGCTCCCGGTTGCGACGTGCGACCCATCTACCCCCCATCCACCCGCAGAGCCACCCAAGCACTCAGACAGGCACCCACCTGCGCCCTTTCTTGCATCGTAATGCGCCACGATGCCGTCCTCAGAGGACACCAGGAAGCAGGTCGGGTCGTGCGGGTTCCAGCACAGCGCCTCCACGTCGGCGGAGACACGCCAACGCGCGGGGTCACCCTGGGGGGTGCGGGCATCCGCCTGGACAGAGGATCGGGGGGGGAAGGGAGGGATCAGGGGGGAGGGGATGAGGGGAAATCACGTGCTGCAAAGGAAATCAGAAATTATGGACTCTGCCGGTGTCCAAAGTCTGAGGAGGGGGTCAGGGGGGAGGGCCAGAGGGATGAGACGAACCACTGGAGCAGGGGGAGGGGGTTATGCGGGGGAGGATGTCGGCTAGAAGGGAGGGCGAAAGAGGAAAAGACGGGAGGAGGAGGGGGAGGAGAGGGTTGTTGGGGCGGGCAGGGGGTTTGGGTCCAGAGCGAGGTGCGTGGGTGTGAGAGTCAGAAGTCAGCCTTGACCCATTCGGGTGTCACACTGTGCGTGGGAAGTTAGGCTGGCGCTACGGCGAGGGTGAATGAGGCGCCACAGCCCCCAGCGTGGTTCGGAGGCCCCCCCTCCACCACGGCCCACCACACCACACCACGCTTCCGTGCTCATTTCCACGTACTTCCAAAACCTTCCTTACCCGCCAACCACCCCGCGCGCAGCGTCTGAGTGGCATTGCATTACTATTACCACCCGACATGGCGACCGATGATGACCGATGTCCAGTCCTTTCCTCCATCCTCGTTCCCCCACCCTCTACCCTTCCGCCCTGCCTTCGACCAGTATCAGTAGCATGGGGGCAGTCAAACCCCCCGGCTTCCTTGTGCATCATCAGCGCCCTTCAGACCCAAGTCCCCAACCCTCCTACCTTCCCCCCACTCCCCTCAGCTACCCAACACCCACTCTTCCCCCCTTGCCCCCCACTCCCCCTTCCCCCCTAACCCACCAGACACACGCTCCGGTCGAAGGACCCGGTGAGCAGCACAGGGGACTCCGCGGGGTTCCACGCCACCGCCTGGACCTTGTCCGTGTGACACCGCAGGGTGTGCTCGCAGACGCCCTTCACCAGGTCCCACACCTGGGGGGGGGGAGCCAAGAGAGGTGCGGTCCAGGGGAGGGCTGGCAGGTGGTGTGCAGGTCGTGGGAGTGGGCAGGGGTGAACGGTCACATGATGCCCTACATCAGGACGCCAACAGGAGGAAGATGCGTGCAATAACTGGATGCTGGATAACAACAATCGCCAACAGCAGCGTCAGCGCCACTACCGCAGGTCAGGAGGAACCAGGAACCAAACCCCGCGGTACCCAGCCCTAACTCTAGCCCTAGCCCGCCTAAGGATGCCCAACAAGAGGAGCCAATAAGTGCTCCATAAAGCACCGGCCCCTATCCCGGACAGATCAAATCTCCCCTTCCCTCCGCGCCCCACCTCCACCCCGGTAGCCTTCTCCTCCTTCTCCTCCTCCTCCTACTACTACTATTACTGCTACAACTACTACTGCTACTACTACTATTACTACTGCTACTACTATTACTGCTACTACTACTGCTGCTACTACTACTACTGCTACTACTACTACTGCTACTACTATTACTACTCCCCCACCTCCCTCACTCCATTAATCCGCACCCCGGTAGGGTTCTATACCCCCGAGGCGCTATTCCATAACCATGCCCCTCCTTCGTCCTTCCCTTCCCTCTTCGCTTTCGATATGCTGTTCTGCCGGCCCCCACACCTCCACCCCCACCTTCTTCTCAAGTCCTTCTCTTTCGTCATGGCTTAGATTCTCAATTCCCGCTCAAACTAACCCTACCCCAGCCCCAAAACCCAAATCCCGTCTCCGGCTCCAACACACCCGCACCCACCCGCGCGCACCCCGTGCTCCCACCTTGACGGTGCAGTCCGCACTCCCCGACGCCAACACGTTGCGGTACTCCCGGTTCCATGACAGGCCCAACACGCTGTCCTCGTGGCTGCCGGGCTGCAGCTTGGGCTTGGAGGCCTTCTTCTTCTGAGAAGACAGACGGGGGCCCAGAGGAAAGTGGGAGGGAAGGAGTGACGGGGGCGATAAGCTAATTCTATGCAAAAAATGGGTTTTTGGCGTACTAGCAGTGTATGAGGGCAACATGGGGAGACGGCGAGGCGTTTGAGAAGGGCGGCCCCCACCGAAGCCCTGAAGCACTCTTTGTGGATGTAGGCCCCTCGCCCTGCCCCGGCTTCTGTCGTGCGGTGCGGTGTTCCCCGCTTTCACCCGGCGGCGCGCCCAACACCGCACAGCACAAAATTCTGGGTTACTGTCGTTGCGCCTGGGCTTGGGTTCAGAAACTCAACTCGAAGAACAACCGCCTGCTGGGCCGTTCGCGTCTGCGGCCTTTGTTGGTGATTTCCCTTCCTAGCCCACCTCCTGCTTCACCAAGGTGCAGGCACACCCGTACAACCCTCCTCCAGTCCCTCCACGACTCATCCCACACCACCCACTACCTTCCGCAGAGCCCCTATGGGGGCCCCAGTCCAACTTCTCCCCCCCGCCCCCAAATCCCGCCCCACCTTCTTTTTCTTCTTCTTCTTCTCCTCCCCGCTGGTGACCCCCGCACCGTCCTCCGCTGGGCCCCCTGCTGCTGCGGCTGCTGCATCCACACCGCCTAGACACAGCACCGGCTCCACCGTATCCACCACGTCTAAATCCCATATTTCAATGGCGGGCTCCAGGGTGCCCACCGCCACCAGATTGCGGCGGGCCGGGTCCCCCCCGGGGTCGCAGTCGAGCCAGGAGACGCAGAGCGGGAAGGCGGGCAGCAGCACTTCGTGGTGGACGTACAGGTTGGCTTCGCCGCTTGCGTCGGCCTCCTCGTATACCCAGACCTCCAAATTGCTGACGTCGTCTTCGTTTTTGGCGGAGAGTATGATGAGGTCTGTGGGGCGAAGGGTGAAGTCCTCGATTTCGCTGTCGTCGTCGCCGAGTTTTAGGTAGGGGTCGTCCTCGCCGGCAGCGTACTCGAGCCGGGCTCGCCCTGACGTGCCGAGGACGCGGTTGATGACGTCGGCGTCGTCATCGCCGGCGTCGTCGTAGTGGTCCATATCGAGTTCGCGCATGGCGTCTTCTAGTCCGCCGGTGCCAGCGGAAGATTTGCCGCCGCCGGCGGCTCGCGAAGAGGCCATCGCTGATGCCACGGCCCGGGCGCGGGCAACTGCCTCATCCACAGGCTCGTCCTTAGCAGGATCATCGCTATCCATATTGTCAGAGTCCGTTTCGGAAGCCTCGGCGTCATCTTCGTCATCATCTTCGCCTTCCCCTTCCGCCTCTATCTGAGCCCGCATAGCTTCCATCTCTTCTTCTGTTGGTTGTGCTACTGTCGGTACAGCTTTTGCAACGCCCCTCGGTATCCATGACACTGCCGAAATCATTGAATTGCGAAAGGAAAAATGCCACCCGAAGAGGAAGCCTCCGTATGAAGCTCTATGGGCAACGTACAATAGTAAAACATAAGGTTATCTGGTGTAACAGGGCACAAGCAATAGGATGGCCCGTACTAACGGAAAACAAGCCAAAAGGTTTTTTTCTGCAGAAGGTGACCGATTGCATCTAGATATCACACATTCATCTAGACTGACAGCTATAACTAGATACAGATATCTCCATAACCAAAAAGCCTAGTTGGCTTTGGTCAAGAACCATTCCGCTTTGGTAGTACACCAAAACTCGCAGCTAGCCGTCTAAGCCGCTTTGCTAACCGAAGTAACAATAACTGAGCTTCAGGCATTCAAGGTGCACACAGTATACCTTGGGCGACGCATGCACCTTGCCCAACAAGTAGAACGACTTGCGGTGATAGACAGCAGACTCGTGTGGCTCACGCTTGGAAGGCATAGGAGTATTACTTATTTCCTGGGTAGCTGGTAGCTGGTAGCAGTTACGGTCGTCGTCTTTGCACACGTTTCATTGTTTGGGATTACAAGGTTGGGGAGCCAGGGATGGGCACATGTCAATCCTTGCAAGAAAACTGTCACACTGCCAACTGCTGTCCCTCGACCTCCCGCGAGTTCAAACCGTTGTGGCCGGATTGCCCGGTGATTTCCCGATCACCTGCACTGGTGCCGCTTTCCTGTGTGGCTCAAGGGAAGCACGAGAAACAATTTACGGATATCACCATGGTTTATGCATTTTTATACCTCTTCCCAGGTTTCCTCTTCATCCCGACTTCGATTATCGGACACCGATTCCCGGTCAGCAATTGAAATGGCGCAGAAAAACGAGTGCTGCATAGAAAATGAAATACTTAAATGATACTGCGTCGCAGGCGTAAGACTCTAGCAAGTGCACGATTAGCCTCTATCTGTTGGCTGTCGAGTCGAAAAGCAGGTTTGCTAGGAGCGAGATCTTCAAGGCGGGCGATGCCCGTATGATGCTTAAGCTGTAACACGTATTCATTGTCTTTTGGATTGTTTTTGCTTGGGGATTATTGCCACGGTACCTAACGCAGTAACGCAAAGACCTAGACCTAAGCTGCATTTCGCTTACACAAGATATGCGGCACATCATGTACATTTCAGAGTCACGTTATGATCGATTTCATAGTAAACGATCACCAGTGTAAGAATGTGACACTTTACCATGCTGACGTGGATAACTTCTGCCTGTCCGAAGTCCTTCATCAACTAAGATGGACACAATGCAATCGCAGATTCATGACATAAACATATATCAGAAGTCGATTTTGTGCTTGGGAGTATGCTTACAGCTGAAAGCGACAAAAGCGAGGCAGTGTCGTACACGCCTTTCCTACCCTTCAACTTTATTTGAGCCTGCTGCAAGGCGCCCATAAAGTTGGATATATATACGCATACAAGTGATATCACTACTGACCTGCCATTTCCCCCTATTGGTCAAGACAAATGTTGGCGGTCCAGCGTTCGCCTGCCGCGACGAAGACGCGCTTACCAGCTCGCACTGCAGGCGGACGCCGGAGATGTGCCGAACGTGGACGGTCCTCAGTCGAGGCAGGTGAGCAACGCAGAAGTTTTGGTAAGCTCCAACACCTCCGGCCAGTACGAGTAAACTCTGCGTTCACGATTACGACGCGAAAACATCGTAGAAGCGCATTACTATTGTACTCGCACTAATCGCATGGCGTTCCTGGCATTGATCTTGGCCGCCCGGGCTTGTCCGGACGCGACATCCAAGCCACTTTTGGCCACAACCGACCTGCCTGCATTGCGATGAATGGCCACCTTCCAAGTTTGCTTGCTTGCTCAACGTGTCGAAATCACTGCAAAGGGTCAGCACATCCATCACGACTATCGCAACGCGCTCCTTCCTTCAGGCATTAACGGACCTAGTTCTACTGCTGACCATCAAAACTCCTATCTTCACGTGGCGAACGGCAATGGCCATGGATCCAGCCATTCGCAGGTAGGACATGTTATGTTGGCGTTCCCTGGCGCTGCAGCCATTGTACCAGAATCCCACCGAAACCCCCCTGGCACAGGAAAACAACTTAGCATCAACCAGTTTTCCTCGTATGGCCGCTGCAGTTTAACCTTACACCTGAATTTAATGCGGAGTCGCTGGCGCCTTCACCCGCGGACCCGCACCAAATTCCCGAGGTTGTGTGGGGCCCTGGGAAGTCAGCGGACCAGATTGCCATGAAACTGGTGAGCAGGTCCACATACGCTTTCCTCGGTGGTGTGTTCTTGAGCCAATACAAGAGCCATGTGAACCATGATTTTGCTCAAGGTTGAAGAGTTTAAGCGGTCTGGTGTCCCAAGTACACACAGTAGAAACCACACTAATTGAAGGCTACAACTGTCCCCAATTGGCCCGCTTGCCCTCCCTGACCTCCGGGACCCGTAGATGAGCTTGACGGAGCGACAAAGAGTGGCGATTGCAGCGCGGATCGACCCCGCGACCTACTCTGCGGTGCGCATGCATGCACCGGGTGGGTTGCGGTTTGATATCTACACTGAGATCTACACTGATTTTTCAGAGCGCAGGATTTGGTTGTGTTGCAGCAACGTGCAAGTGGCTGAACCAATCCAACTGTCGCATGAATTGAATGGCGCTGGAACGCACTTTATATATTTCACGATTCTGGAGCCCAAAATTTTTGTGCTGAGTATTCCGGTCAAGAGGCAACAAAATCCTCAAGAAGACGTGCATGGCGGGCATGCGTCGCGCAGGTCTGAGCACTCTCATACTAAACCAACCCGCGTACCCGCATGTAGTACCTTACCCCTACCTCACGTGGCTCAGCAACCATCCGGCGCCGCCATGTTGCGCCATGCGCCGTCGTCGTCAATAATCCTACATCCGACAACCCAGCCCGTTGCACCTTCGACTTTTGCAAACCTTTTTTTCCGATCACTGGTTGCACTCTCTTCAGGTGTCGAGTACAACGCCCGTGCGCGCACACTCAAGCTCAAATCTGCGACCGCCGAGCAGCTGCCCAAGCCGCGAAGGCTTCCGGGCTCTGTGGCGATCGTTTCCGCCGACACGGCCGACCAGGCGATTGCGGAGGAGGTTCGCGTGCTGAGCGACTACATGGGCGCTTACAGCTTTCAGATTCGGGACGTTGGGGCCGCTAACCTGCACGGACTGCTGGCCAACGTGGCGTCCTTACGTGCCGCAGATGTGGTGGTTGTGGTGGCGGGCACGGACTGCGCACTGCCTTCTCTGGTGGCGGGTATCACTCAAAGCCCCGTGGTAAGCCTACCCGTGGACATTCCTTACCTCGCCAAGTCTTGTCTGATGGGAAGGGGGGTCGGTAAGGTACTAGGCCACACACGCGGCCACGTGGGTACGTGTAGGCGCACAGCATGTGGATTTTCACTTGTGCCGTATATGCTGTACAGGCGTACGGGCACTGGTGTTGACTTTAGGTAGCACTTGTTAATTTCGGCGGTTGGAGGCTGCTTAAGCGTCTGGGGATGATGTACATGTACACAGAACGGAATATCTAAAAACAGCAATGCGGCTCTTGATGTCCTCAACGGCCACTAGCTCCTAGCAGAACTCCCCCGCATATAGCTCACACGTGACGTACCATATGACTGATGGCTGCGTATCCATGACTTCATTCGACCTGTGGCTGTGCGCCTCCTCGGTCTCGGTTTCCTCGTCCTGTGGTATGACGACACCACCTCCACGCCGTGAGCAGATTGCGGTTCCCACCAGCGCCGGTTTCGGAGCCGCTCTGGCGGGCATGGCACCACTGCTGGCGTCCCTTAGTACCAACACGCCGGGCATCACGTTGTGCAACATTGACAACGGATTCGGCGCAGCGGCCATGGCGGTTCGCATCCTGAAGATGGCTGCGCGTCTGCACGTGGTGCGGTCGGCGGCGGAGGCGGCGGCGGAGGCCGCGGTGGCGGCGATGCACGCGTTGGACAGCGCCCGGTCGGCCTCTTCCCCTTCTGAGAACTAAGGGGTTGCGATGTGTGCGTAATGCGGGTGGGGTGGGGGTGCAAAAGCGTATGTGGTAAGTTAGTATAAGCAAGTTCGGGTCAGGGCCAGGGCCAGGAGGGGAGAGAGAGCATCAAAGAGAGAGCGAGAGAGAGGGGGGGGAGCAAGAAGGGAAAGAAACGAGGGGGGAGGGGAACCGCCAGGCTTCTGTGGGGGGGAAAGAGACAGACAGTCGATGTGCGCGATTTGTGCATTGGCCGGTGTATGTTTGTATGTATGTATATGCGTTATGCGCTTATGTATGCACGCGTCAAAGGGCGACGTGGGGTCCATCTGCGGCTTGCCGGGCTGGTGAAGCGGACGGTGGGATGGACGCGGTCGACCAACTGACAACCGACCAACAAATCGTCGCCCACTTTCCTGTCTTCCACCTCTCTGGCGCGTTTTGCCGTTTTTGCCTTCCTAACCTACCTGGAGGTCTTAAGTGTTTTTCCCCTTCCACTCCCCTCCCACCAGTCTCGAGTGGTTGGAACAATAAGAGCAGGCATTCATTACTAACCGTTTCCACAAGGCTTGTTTCGGCCGACCTTGTTGAAAGGACGTATAGAGATGTATTTCGCCCCGTCAGCGGAACATAAAAAACCGAGTGGTGTACGGCATTTCCGCCTGCTTGCCTGCCCATTGGAATCCATGTGTGGAGTTGTCGGAGCTTTGAGTTGCGCCGTACAGCGGCTGTTGGTGTATTTGATGTGTTTTTCGCCTTTTGCGTGTATTTCGTTGATGCATCTGTCTGCCGCTGAGGGGCTGCTTGTAGGGTCATAAGTTGGAGAGTCTGACCTCTCACTTCGTCGTCTCGTTGTCCAGTCGTTGCCCAACCTTGTGAAAGGTGCACCTCCTATCCAGCCATGTTCTCGCGTAGGAGTGGGGATGTCGCTGTGGGATGTATTCGGTGTGCGGGTTGATAGATCAGGGTTGAGCGCCCCATGCCTGGGCATGTATTGCGCGTTGTTGTTCTCGCATCATCATTGCAGTGTCATCATGAGTTGCAGCAAAACCAGCTGGACCATTAGTTTTGTGTATTTCACGATTTCCAGGCTCTAGGTGCTCAAGAGCCAAATCGAAGTGCTGCATCAAGTCCGAAAGGGATCCTGGCCGCAAGGAAGTTTTCGGATGTCTCTTCAGTCGGGGGAAGTTGTGGCGAAGAGATAACGATGGTGTCGATGTGCATGCGGCCCCTCTAAAACCGCCCTTCAACCGCTTTCGGATGTACAACAGAAAGGCTCATGCTGTGTGCATGCGCGTGTCGGTGTGCGTCTATTATTATTCGGGCGCGCACCACACGCACCACACGGCCCACACGGCCAAATCGAAGCGCGATATAAGCTGCGTCTGAGCGCGCAGATGTATGTGTGTGTTTTAGTGTGTGCGTGTAATGCGCTTTTCGTTTCTTGCATCCTACTGGCTGTGCCGTATCTATATATTTATTATCCACCGGTCTCATGACCCGTGGTTCGGCTCGACCTATCTTTCTATGGCAACTGAGAGAGCTCCAGTGGCAGTGCTTTCATGGTCATGGCGGAGTTCGCCCCCTGTACCGGCATGGGGGTCGTAATCAGCGGTTTAAGATTTTGCCGAGTTCACAAGCATGTGGCGATATTGCGTATGCGGCGCGCAGTCCTTGCTGCTTCCTGATATATCGGTCATGAGTTGCGACGGGCATAATGCAAGTCTGTGTTGGGTCCGTTTGGCGCCTCAAATTGTCGGAAGCTCGTTGGTGTGTTTGATTTTCTGTCGCCAGCTTGAAGTCGCGTGAAGTCGTCGGGCATTGTCGTCTTTGTGGCGAGAAGGTTCGTGCCGTGGTTGGTGTCCTGGCGGTGTTCGGCAGCCTGATTGTACGGAATAGCTGGCTGTTGAAAGAAGGCACACGGGAAAAACGGGTTGAAAGGAGGGTGAGCTCGGGGTCCTGCAGTCCCAATTCGGCTGCATCACTCCGCTTCTCATCACTGCACCACCTGGTGTACAGCACATCGCTTGTGCGTGGCCGGCACCGGTGCACACGGTTTTCACGTCCATGGGGGTGTATGCCCCCCCTCCTCCTCCTCCTCCTCCTCCTGCTTCATGCTGTCTAGACTGGGCTGGACTAGGTTGGGATGTTGATGGTCGTCTAATGAGGGAGCTGGGACGCGGGAGCTGCTGCCGGCATCATTTCCGTTAGATGCGGTGATGGGGAAGGTTGATGAGCCCGGAAAAACCTGTTCTTGTCAAAGTTCAACTGCTAGTTCGGTGACGTGTCGGTGACGTATCGAGGCTTAAGGCGATTCCATGTGCTCTCCGCGCGGGGCGCTGAAAGCTGGGGGGAAAGATGTTGCGGCAGTAGTGTGCCCTTGCGATGAGATGGCCTCAAGCCCGATGAACCTAACCCTGCGCCTTTACCAAGAGATTTCGTCACGGTTGGAATCAAAGCAGGACTTGTTGGCAGGATGAGTTTGAAGACCTTTGCCAGAGATCAGCAGCCCTTGGCATGTTTTCCTTTTTGGAGGCTACGAAATGTCACTGATGCTACTCGCAGAGCAGCTGCTGCGGCTTTTGTCTGGCTATCCCGAGATGTGCCAGAGCTTTTTTTGTTGTTATCTTGGAAAATATTTAATTGGAAGCTGGCACATAATGAAAGAAGGATTGCATTTCGTTGCTCTGGTTTCATTGCGCTGGTTTTAGTCAGCACGTCGAATGCAGGGTGAACGCCTGGCATGACAGTTGGGATACGGTATAGTTTTGGCGCATATACATTCCACATGCTGAGCGCGTTCTGCTGTAATTTTTGTTTGTAGGCGATTTTGGCTGCCAAGTAAAGCGTTGATGGCTGAATGTTGACATGCTGTTGCGCGCACCTCATTTTGAATTGCAACGTTCTCTTCTTTTGGTGGGCAGGGGTGCAGGTTACAGCAGTCGTAGGATCTGAGGGACTGGCAACTTTGCTTAGCACCTTGGAAATCCCATTTTTCATATAATGGACTCTGCGTTTCATGCAGGCGTATCGTACAGGGGCTCCGCAGTTTAGCAGGCATTGTAATAGTTGCACTTCGTCCCTTGCGAAACCGCTATCACGTCAAAGGAAGTATAACATAAGATAATTTACCATGGACTTCGCGTGCTTCTCGTCGTTTACATGGCAGCCTTTCTCTATATGCAGCGCTGTCCGTAGGCGTGCTTGGATTCAGCCCATCATGGACCTGCTTCCCTCCCCATCCTGGGGATGTTATGCTGCTGGAGCTGTGGCTATTCCTAGTGCCCACCATGCTCACAATCCACTTAGCCTATTCCTCTTGACCTTACAGCACCCGTTGAGTACAATACTCGAATTCTTATAACCCATGGATAGACACACAGCCATGACCCCCCTCCTGGGCTCCGCTGCGTATCTGTTTTCCCTTCTCTCCTCCTCCTGGTTCCAGCTCGCCATCGAATGGCCCCATCATCACAATCATGAGCCGTGTAAAGAGGGGCTTTCCAGCCCGGCTACCCGGCACCAAAGCGCCCTCATCTCATATCCTCGAGCTAGCGCTACCTCTTTTACCTTGTGCTTTAAGATGTCTCAAGACCGCCTGGACGCCAGTGTACGCCATGTACCGCACACATGTGTGCATTTCATGAGGGCTGCTCGTTTTGATCACATGTTACTATGTATTTTACACTTGTCTGCCTCTGCAGCCAAGCCAAGCCAAGCCAGGACTAGCTAGCCAGCTTACGGAACAAGCTGGGCATGCAGCCAGCCAGACGCGGCGGCTCACTCTCGACATGGGTAGTGTCACTGTCACATCCACCCTCGACCGCACCTGGGTACATGGCGTGTTCCCGCCGCCCCGAAACCATCACCACATCATCATCAGCACCAGTAGCGCAACAACAGCACAGCCAAGCCGCTGCCTCCTGCCGCTGCTGTTGCATCAGCATCGGCAGCATGAGCAAGGGGGAGTTGGGGGTCGTGGACGGAAGCTGCCCATGACGCGCAGCCTGTCACTCCTCCTAGTGGAAGCCAAATCCCCTAGAAGTGAGGAGTTCCGATCACTGGATAGACACCGTCACCGTCACCTCATGCAGCATCCGCTGGATATCTACCCCCCAGATGTGCCCTCCGCACCGCCATAGCTCTTAAACGACAACCCTTACGAGTCAAGGAATACAGTCCTTAATGCTCTTGTCCTTTTCATCCTCTCTCTAATTCTTCCACTCTTATCTTATTCTTTATTGTTGTTGTTGCTGCTGCTGTTGCTGGATGTATCGCTCGACGCTGTCCGCAAAGGGGTTTTCTCGGAAGGCGTTGCCGTTGCGCAGAGACATGGCCGCAGTCTGCAGCGCTAGCGGTTTGTCCTGAGCCTGTGCCGCCGCATTGCCAATGGCCAGCACACCGCACAGAGCACGCACCTTGTCTACAAACGTCACCTCCTGCGTGCATCGCGGCCACAGGGACAAGACACCCCAGCACCCAGCCCGGGCGCGGTGAGGGAGGAAAAGAATGAAGGCCAGGGAGGGAGAGGGATTTTCGGGTTTTATTTTGCATATTTCATACATCCCAACCAGGATATCGTAAGCAAGTACCGAGTGCGGTGTTGAACTGCCTCACCTTGGCCGACCCGCCTGACGATAACCCCGCGCCTCCTCCTCCCCCGCCGTCGCTCTGCGGCCCTGCGGCCGGCTTGCCCGCCTGCGCGGCGCCTCCTCCGCTTCCTCCCCCTCCTCCTCCTCCTCCTCCTCCTCCTCCCCCGCCTGAAGCTCCTGCTGCACCTGCACTTGCGCTTTGGCCCCGCGGCTCCGCTGGGTAGGGCTCGGACGGCGGGGCTGGCCCCGATATCGGCGGTAGCAGCGGCAGCGGCTCTGGCTGCTGGGTCTCACGTGGGGCCGCCGGCCGTAACTCCTCCATCCTGTGTGCGGATGCATCGCATCGCATGGGCAACAATGCAACACAACTGCAGCAGACGAAAGAGCCAGCTGGAGAGAACTGCTTTTCCCTTGGAAATGAGCAAC